GCCCACATACGAGTATCCGGCCTGAAGACTGTTAGCCATGTTACACAATGCTTCAAGACAACATTTCATTTATTTGTCATTAGAAGTAAATATTTCACAATATATCATTACATATTGTTTTTGTGATGAATCACTATGCTTTGTGTTCCATTTGGAACAATGAAAGTACATCCTGCATATCAGATATTTACATGATGATTCATAACGGTAGCAAAATTACAGTTATGAAGTAGCAATGAAAATAGTTTTATGGCTGGGGATCACCACAACATAAGGAACTGTAAGAAAGGGTCGCAGCACTGTTTGAGGGAAGTGGGGGGCTTGTTGTGCATGTGCTCATCAGCACTTCTAGACTGCTGGGTTCTTGCTCCAAGCCCGGAGTAGACGAGGTTGAGAAAGACGTGTGTGTGGTTCCATGGGTTCTAAGTCAGTAGTAGTTCTCCCTTTATTAGTATAGTTACAAGATCAGCCAGGCTTCTTAGGCAAGAAGCCGCTTTATGACTTATTAAAATATCACTAATCAAAGAAACCGAAGATTCTGTAAGTAGAGCATAAAATTTTGCTATAGTATCTGAGACTAGATTGCAAATAGGAAAAATATTTGGTGCTTCATATGAAGAAAGATTTTTCAAAAGTGTCAGGAGTTCTCAAGAAATTACAGATGGAAAAAAAGAGAAGTGGAAAACGTGAAAGGAAGAGGTATTTTTGTGGTAAGAATGTAGCTTGGCTTTGTGTGAGTAAATCAAAATGAAATGGTTGGTGTGCCCTTTTTTCCCCATTATGATGGTATGTATGGTCTTTGCCTTGAGCTTGAATTTCTAGTTAGTTCAACTCGTACAGGCGTGGTACTTTTCTGAGTCATTTAAGATAATAAACAGTGATATTTTATATGCATGCGACTGCTCAGCCAGGATGAATAAATCATGTTAAATATTCTTAGATTGGGATCGACTAAGCCAGGGCCCTACAATTAGGGTATGTGAAAACCCCAATAATTCAGAAAAGCTTTTTTACTTCATATTTCGTTTTCTCCTGCCCCCTTTGAACTGTAAAATGTACAACTGTAGTTTCAAAACGGCCTTTCACACCTCTGAAAACACTTTCAGGAGGGCAGTTCAAACCCACCCTCTGTCGGTATGAGGCTGTCAGTACCCTTAAAGATATATAGTCTCAGAAACCCTATGTACAACGCTATGAGTCAGGATGGAACTGACGCAATGATAGTGGCTTTGGCTTTTTGTTTGGTTTAAATTTGCATCAAAAAGAAATAGGATCATGTCGAGGCACAGGTCAAAATTAGCAGATTGGGGGGTGGGGGGGGGCGATAGTTAATTCGTGTTTTTATAGGAAAGCACCAGGGATATCTCGAACTTGCTTAGTCCTTTAGTCCCTTAAGCAGTGGAAGCCATCTTAAAATGGAAGGTTTTGACAAATAACGTCTAAAACAATACTTCAGGTCCATCGTTGCATTAAGGAGCCCTGGTGGCAACGTGGGTTAGGTGCTGTATGCTAACCTCCAGGGCAGCAATTCAAAACCACCGGCCTCTCACAAGAGAATGGTGAAGCTTTCTACTCCATAAAGAGTTTAATAGTGTAGGAAGCCCACAGAGACAGTTCAACCTATTCTTCTAAGTCGGAATCTGTTCTGTGGTGGTGAGTTTATCAAGTCAACTCATGATAACCCCAATGTGGCAGGGCAGAACTGGGTTGAAATTTCAGAAGTTGGTCACCAGGCCTTTCGTCAAAGCACCTCTGTGTGGACTCCACGCCCTCCTGGTCAGCAGCTGAGTATAGTAACAGTTTACACTGTCACTAATGACCCCTCTGGAAAGTTGGCATATAATTACACACACATTTATAAAATGTAAAATATAACCAGGTAAACTTGCTTCACTTCTAGTTTCATAAACTATTCTTGTTCTTTTGTTTTTTAACTATCCTTGTTTTGATGACCTAACTCTTCAGTCAGTCTAAAAATAGATTGACACTTTTTTTCTCGTCAGGTGACTCCAACATACCCAAAGAATATGGCTGCGCAAATACCAGAATCCGATCAGATAAAACAGGTAAGGTGTTATAATTAAAGAAAAGAGGTTTGGCTAAAAGCTGAAAGGCACTCCTGATGCAACCATGTCAGTGAGTGATC